CACACGATTTTCCTTTTCGTTTTCTTCAATTACAGGAGAAATCAATGGGAACGCAACAGCGTGCAACCATAGCCTACTTCGGTAGTACGACAATTCTGTTTCTATTGCCCATTCCCCGGTTTAACTATCGGTGCTCACCGTTCTAACCCGTTAAGCAGTGACGTTTCATTTGCGGACTCAGAAACCGAGGGAAATTTACGTTGATTAAGCCGGCCCGAGAATTTTCCAAGCTTTCTCTACGTTTAAATCTCTTTACGATCGCGTATTAAACGACACTGATGATCGACTAGAATTTCAATTTAATCACAGCTATCCATGCTTTAGCCATGAGCGATGCAGCAGTCACTATTCGGTGGTTGGAAGAATGATCAATCACGACTCTTCGCTTGGTACCGTTTCCGAGATTTCGGGACCGAGCGAAAAACTACGAATTATATGGAGAGTAGAATGAAGCAAAAGACTACGAAGATTAGAATTTCTGTATCCTAAATTGTATATTGATTAATAAATGAAAGAAAACAAATCTTGAAATTTTTATTTCAAGATCCTTGACCAAATGACTAAACCTAGAGATCGTTACTTAAGAAGTGTTCGAGCCGAGTTCATGAGTGTAGAGCTGGACATTGCAGATAGTACCGTGCGAAAACCTACAATCTCGTTTAGAATCTGTATCTCAGATGGGTCCTTCTTGAACGTCAAATCAAGGGCGAATAACTCAGAACTAATCTATTCGTTCTTTATTATCAGTTATTTTTTAATATCCATTTATTTGTTATTTATTAATCAGTTCGTTCATAGTCAATTATTCCTTAACGAGTGGAATTAAAAGGAAATTGCATAGACTTTTTCGTAGTTGACAATTCGCTACGATGAAAAAAAATTTTTGCAATAAACATTTTTCTTGTATTGTAAATTGAGGAAAAGTGTTGTAGAAATGGCATACGAGCTCTCGGTTTAAACGTACTCGATTATACGATTCCATTAAATTGAAAAATTCAAGCGGTTGCAAGTAACGTGTATTGTACGTCCGCGCGTTCAAGAAACATCAATACGAATGATAAATTGAGTCGTTCCAGGTGAATGTGAAAGAAGTGCATTTCGTATTCAAGCAGATGTACTATCGAGATTGAATTATCCGAACCGAAGATAGAATCATATCGAAATGCCTATGATAAGCGTCTTCGTACTGCAGATTTAGAGGCAGAGTCGAATTATTAGAACTCAAAGGCGTTTTGCGGTTGTCAAACAAGTCTATAATTTCTGTAATGAAAGTTAAACGTCCGATTTAAAAAGCGTCCTGGCTCCTAATTAGACGATCTCGAACGGAACAGCATTCGCGTGTCTGCCGGTTCGATACTCTTAATTAACTTTAAACTTTCCAAGTATTAACAGCTTGCCAAACCGAACGAAGGAGGCAGCTGTTCGAACATTTTCAACGTATTCCTCGTTATCATAATCAAACTTTGCCACGTTTATTGTTTGCACAGCTGGGATGCTCGAAATTGAATAGTCGCGATTTTTTCAGAAGTCGAAGAGTTCGCAAAATCGTCGTACGAGGAACTTGTCGTACGAATTCGACGTAAACGTTTCGATTGTCCACTCGAAAACGATCGTTCAAGCAAGATATTATTTTTAAAATGAAGACAATAAGAGTGATCGAGTCTGTATCGCGAGTTAACAAGAGTTCGATATCAGCTAATGCAATATGTATTATCGTATGGCAATTATCAGGGAAATATCAATGAGATACCGTCGTTCGTGTCGCAAACAATTGGAAAACGGATTGGATGGAGGAAATAAACTGCGAATTTGATGCATATATAAGAGTAGGCTGAATATTATCATTTCAGATGACTAAAGAAATACGTATTCTGTAATCGAAAATCAATTAAAGCTGAATTGAAAGCAAAAACTAAAAAGAGATCCATGGATGTACTCTCTGCCAATGTGAAAAAATGAGTCGCACGTTTTCAGTCGCAATATTGTGCAAGTGCACCGAGGTTAACCGGTCACGCCAAATATATCCGTAGCTGGTAATTGCCCTACCACGATTGGAAACACGGAGAAATTTGACACAGATTCGCTGCCCGTTTATTTTTTCCAGCCTATTTTCCTTTTTCTTTTTGAGACCGGTCAGGCCACTGCTCTATCGCAACGATTCAGAGTTTGAACTTACTGAAAGGCTTCTTTAACGACCGTTTCATCAACGCATCCCATCGGAGGTAATTGATCGTTTGTGTAACTACTGTAACTGTAACGGAATGAAGCGAAGCCAGATGCGATTGTACTTGAAATTGCCTCGTAGTCGGACATAAAACGCATCAAATGTAAAAAGAAACTTTGTTAGGTGAAATGGAATACCGTCAGACTTTTCTTCTCGACGAGAAAAGTTTGATTCTTTTCTAACAGTCATGGATTCTAAAAATACTATTTTCGTTTAACTAAAATAAGCGTCGGTTCGCCGGCTTTGTTAAGTCGAGTATTATGCAATAGAATCGGTGGTTAATTAGTTTCGCAATGGCGAGTACGTACAACTAGGGACACGATTTGCAGTCGCATGCATGACTCAACCTGTGAGAACGATTCGCTGCTTGCCATTTTTCTCTTTCAGAGACGGACGAGGCTCGAAAGCGTGGTTAACCTTGCGAGTTCGCACGTCTACACCCGTGGCTCTGCGAGTAATCGCGACACGAGTCTTATTTAGGAAACGTGAATTTTCGTTGAGAATTCCTAGAAAATGTTCTTCGTTTCGATAGATTACTTTACTCCTTTACAAACTGCAAACGCATGGACGGCAAAGCGAGTTTCCCTCACCGGAAACTGTGTTCTTTCAATTACGGCAGCAATTTCTATACCTGGCTGGCAGAGGAGATCAGAGAGAACGATGAAATGCAATAACTTCCTACGAGCGAAGGTATCATCGTCGAAGAGCTTCGCACGCGTATGAAATCGATCATGTGGGAACAGTTAGTTTTTCCGAAGAACGCTACATATGCGGCTTAGCCGTGCGATTTCAGATAAAACGTCGCGATTTAATGATCGACCCAATTTCACGGCTGACAACAATATGGCATGAGAGAGGTTTCCTCCGTACTCTCGTGTTACAGGAATCAATAGGAACAGCTCGGCATCAAGGTTAATTGTCTATCATTCACCGGTAATTGTTAAGAAAACGTTATTCTTTTTAAAGCTCACGCCTTCAGTAATACGCGAGTTGAATATTCTTATTTGAAACATTCATCGCATAGTCGCGTAACTCGTTTGTTACATTTTACATAATATGAGCAGAAGTTAGAAAACGTGTGGACAGACCAATTATGTAAGATAAAAGCGGAGAAACCGATGCGTGACGTGCAACAATTTTTCCTAATTACATATACGTATTATATCAGCGAAACCGCGCTAAACCGGTGAAGCAACCAACGAAATTTCTCTCCATCTCGCGTATTGACATTAACGTAAGGACAAATATTTTATTTTTCGCAACGTATATCGTTTCGCAACGCCCATAACGTTACGCGAAACCGATAAACAACAAGCTTCAGCGATTATGAAGTTCGCTTAGCCAAAAGTTTGTTCGGAAAATTCCACGCATCGTTCAGCACCGTTCATTTAGTCGCGTAAATATCAGACACAGTTCGCTAGAAAGGTCGCCTTATGCGATTTTGTTCAGTAATCTAACAATTGTTTAACGTATCGTGCAGTTGACGAAGTCACTGCAACAACAAATGTACTTAATAAAATATATCATGAGATCGTCTCGTGAGATAGTCCTGCATCGTCTAAAGTTAAAATACTCTGGCAAATAGACGAGAAGCAAGGAGGCACTGATCCATTATACGAATATTTTATACGCCTCTGTGTTTCTACGTTTTGCTAATGTGCACATGAATTTACGAATCATGCAAGCGTTCAGCCCGTTCAATTACTACACCTACGCCTAAGTCAACGTTACCAACATAAACACTCGCAAAGTATTTACTATAATTGCACTGATAGCCGTTTTGCGCTAAAAAATGGGCTGACATACGCGCGGTATCCACGCTGGATTGTTAGAATAGCAAGTGACAAATGTAAAGAGTGGCTATAATTTCATGTAACTACCTGTCATCCAGGAGACGCGTGAGATCGGTCATCTCGCGCTCGAACTTGAATTTTGACACCTCGCAGAGCAGGGCGTCACGCTCGCCGATGACCTCCGACAGTTCACGTTGCAGCCTCTCGATCTCCGCATACTGCCGGCTGATCAATTGATTCTTCTCTTCAAGGATGGTCTCGAAGTCGGTGTCCAGGATGCCGCCGGCCGGGTCACCGACACTTCCCAGTACCGCGCTCATACCGTTTGTTTACCTTCACAAAGCCGCGCGCACACACGTTTTCGGTCCTGTCGTCCGCGGTATTCGGTGGCTGGTCTCGCGAACGCTTACTACGGGGGGCAGGAGATTGCGAACGAGATCACGAACGGCACGCGCGTCCACTATCAGCACGCGGCACACGTAGAAACGCCCCCAGCCCCATATCCAAAGCGAAATCGCACGGAACGGACCCACTGTCCGTGAGAACGAGACGAAGAACCATCCACGGCGCAACACCGTTTCACCGCGTACTCGCCATCTTGCGTCTATTGCCACCTCTCGGTCTCGGTTCGTGCCGCCAGTCCTGAATCACGATCGTTCCTCTTGCCCTCTTGCCTTTTCCAATTCCACTGGATATTATCGTTTGTCCACAAGCTTTTTAGGCAGCGCATGCGTCCGTCGTTGGAACTGGAGCACCATCACCGTCGTCCTCGCGTCGTCCGTATCCCGCCAACTCGTGGAACCCAGCGACATCTTACACTACGTTATTTAAATCCATCGCTTTCATCACCTACGGAGGAGATATAGTTAAGCAAGCTACAGGAGCTACAGTAAATGCTTTTGCTTACGAATGCGTGGTAAAATGGGTGTTGTCTTTTATGTCAATTGATCGAAATTAATTTTTAAAGAAAAAGTAATATTAAAATGTTGCCAAGAAATTGTATCCATCTGCTTTTGATATGCCTCAAGTTGGTCTGGCACTTTGCGTACGGTATGAATTTTATTTTTTAAGTAATTCTTAATGTTTCCTGTTGCGTTGATTCAGCAGATTAATCATTTGCTAATTAAAGAAGTTGTTGACATATTATGAAAAATAAGATACGCTGAATCATGTAGCAGTCGTTAATATATTAAGCGCATGCAATTAACACCCTGTATTAATTCGATTTATTCGTAGGACAAAATCTTAACAACACCGCTACATGGTGCACAATATCCGAGGCTGAACAGAACAAGTGTAATGCATTTTCACGGGCAGTGGATCGTGAAATAGCATTCTTTGGACATAACTATATTTCTTTGCAATGCAAACAAGCATTTAATAAGGAAGAATGCATGATCATGCTGGATCAAGAGAAGGCTCAGATAACCACGCTGGATGCTGGTGAAATTTTTATAGCAGGACGGTATCACAGCTTGATACCATTCATGCAGGAAATATATGAGACTAAAGTCGGTTATCAGTACACGGTTGCAGTTATTAAAAAAGGATCACTGTCAGATGTTCAGACTTTGCATGATCTAAGAGGCAAAAAGGCCTGTTTTGCTGGTCTTGGAATGCTTGCCGGTTGGGTCATGCCAATTCATACTGTAAGTATTTTCTGCTTTAATATGCTTGTAACTCTACTTCAAATAACATTTCTATTTTATGTAGCTCATGAGACAAGGTGGACTAGAGATCATAGACTGTAACAATCACGTGAAATCCGCTATTAAATTCTTTGGACCTAGCTGTGCCGTAAATTCATTAATAGATAAATATAATCCACTGGGAGATAATTCTGATCAGTTGTGTAAATTATGTATCGGGAAGATACCCACTGAAAGATGTACCACCTCGGATCCTTACGCCGGATACGAAGGAGCATTTAGATGTTTGGTAGAGGCAGGGGAAATCGCATTCTTAGTGCATACGACCGTCGAGGAAATGACATCGACCACATTTGACTTCAGTAAGTTCCTCGTTATACGTATTGCATTTTGTTTAAATACTCTGATAACGAGCAAGATCTTGTTTCTTCAAACAGATTCGGTAAAGAAAGACCAGTTTGAATTGCTCTGTCGCGATGGTACTCGCAAACCCGTTGACGATTATAAAACCTGTAATTGGGGTATCGTTCCATCGCGCGCTATCGTAACATCGTCCGCTACAAATATCGAGACCCGTCGACTCTATCAGCGATTTTTAGAGAAAGCAGTTCGAATATTGGGCAATCGTAGTGCAAGAAATTCGACAGAATTTAATGACAATCGCTTTGAGAATCGGCCAGACTACAATAACAGATTTGACGATAATAATTTTAATAGGAGCGATCGTGTCAGGCCGTACGAATATAGCATTGAAAATAATGAAAATCGTAACGGATACGGAAGAAATTACAACGGAAATGAACTTTCACGGGATCGAACAGAATCGACGGACATACAACCGATAGAAACCTTCGATCTGTTCGAATCCGCGCCTAGATACGGAATGCATCGTAATTTAATGTTTTCCGTAAGTTGAATCCTTCCACTAAATGTGTACTATTACATATCTTGTCCTCGTTACTTTATTTGTAATCGTGCAATGTCAGGATTCAGCGCGGGACTTCGTTCAATTACTCGAGAAGGATCAAATATACACCGCTTACTTAGGCAGATCTTTAGATCCAATAATGGAAATTCGTCGCTGCCCTGTCAGTAAAATGACGTTATGCATTACATCCGATCCGGAAATGGAAAAATGTATAAAAATGAAGGTAAGGTTTTAAAACGACGCAACATTCAAACATTGTTTTCAACGACCATCGCCTAATCCTCGTTCCCATATCAGATAGCACTAAAAGCGCAATTGTTGAAGCCCGAGTTAATCTGCTACAAAGGTCATAGTCATATACACTGCATGCAGGCAATACAGACAGGGTATGTATTTAAAAAAATTACAGAACAAATTATTTGAAAATTAATTCGTGCTTTCGTAGAACCGCCGATGTAGCGGTACTAGACACCAGCGACGTATATACTGCCGGTTTGCGTTTCGACTTGATTCCGTTCATATCCGAAGTTTACAACTTGCCTACACCGGAATACTACGTGGTCGCCGTAGCGAAAGAAGAGGACGATAACACGGACTTGACTTATCTTAAGAATAAGAATACTTGTCACACAGGAATCAATACTGCCGCCGGTTGGGTCTATCCGCTTGCATATCTACTCTCTAACACTTGGATTCGGGGCTACGGTTGCGATTCGGTTCGCGCCGCTGCCGAGTATTTCAGCAAGTCTTGCGTTCCCGGCGCTCTCAGCACCGAGTACAACATAGGTAATTGCAATTTTCTAAATTCAAGATCGATAATATTTCTAGGTTGATCAATTGCATTGATTGCAGGAGTGCCATACGACAACATGTGCGATCTGTGTCACGGCGCGAGTTATCGCTATTGCCGCAGGGACGCGTCTGAGGATTACTACGGTTACACGGGTGCCTTTAGGTGTTTGGTCGAAGGAGGAGGAGACGTGGCTTTCGTGAAACACACGACGGTCGCGGAGAATACTGACGGAAAACGGCGAGAAACCTGGGCGCGTAATACCTTTACAAAGGACTTTGAACTGCTTTGCCCGGACGGCACTCGTCGACCATCCACTGATTACGAGCATTGCAATCTAGGAAAAGTAGCGGCGAACGCAATAGTAACGCGTGGTGGATACTACGGGCATAATGAGACACAAATAAATGCTTACATAAATTTATTTATTTACGCTCAACAATTTTACGGCAGAAGAGAACAGGACGAATTTAGTTTTAGCATGTTTTACAGTCAGCCGCCTTACAGCGATCTGATATTCCAAGACGCGACGCAACAGTTAATGGTGATACCACCGGAAAAGAGAGAATTCAGCGCGTATTTAGGGCCAGATTTTATGAGAGCTAGGAGAATCGTCGACTGCGCCGCCGGCGCGTCGACTATCGAACATTCGATACTGGCCACGTTACTTACGATTGCGCTCAGTTACATATTCAGTAGATAAGTGAATCACTTAGCTTCTTCCCAAATTATATAATCTGTAATAGAAGAAGCGCAGTAGTTTGTATTATGCATTAGCTTACGTATTTTCAGATTTAAGTCTCGTCCGTCCATTTCAGAGAACTTTACACCATTTTAATGCATGTATTAATTATATGTACAGTTTATGCCGTCCATTAATACTTTTTTAATAAAGGAGATTTATAAATTTTTACTTGTGCCTGCTTCAATATATAACTCCGAGTCGTTCCTTACAGCTTTAAATCTTGGACATCCTTTCTTACACAGTCTTAAAATCATTCGTTATTTCCTTCAACCTCTTTTTTACCAATGAAAATAGCCGGATGCCCATTTTTTTAGGTAACACGATCTGCGAATGTCTTTTTCTTGGTCCCAAATTCATTTTACAATTTTTTGGCACGTTCATATTCGTTTTAACTTTTTTCATCCTTGCTCTTTTACGCGAGTATATGTAACTCTTTTGATTCTCTATCACGGGAGGTCTCGAAACCTTTCGCGCAGAGTCGTTCACCTTGATAAATAAAATTGTTTAATATTTTATACGAGATCTGAGAATGAAAAACAATTTAATTTACACTCAGAAAGCGACTTTTGTTTTCCAATTTGGTTTTTATAGTTTTCGGCAGAGCCAAGATATCGATGCGCCTCAGTTTCTTTATATTCCTTTGCTTCTTTTTACAACGTTTCTGGAAACAGATATACCACTTGATCCATCGTATCTCAAGTGCAATATAAGTTTCTATCGTTGCGTTGATAAAAATTACCTTACTTTTTTTGATTTTTTATTTTCTACCGGTGGATCCTTATCGACGTTTTCTATGATACTTATGCTTTTCACTTTTCTAGGAGCACACCAATAAGTTTTTCTTTTAATGCGGCGTTTTCTGACAATAGATTTCGACATCGTTTCCTGCCTGTTACGCAAAGAATTTTATTAAAAAACACGGGGGAAGTAGGAAGATATAGAAAAGGACTATTTACTCTGGCTTTAACATTGTAAAAATGGAATTTCGTCGATTAAAACTTAAAATTTTGTTCACGCTTATAGTTAACTAATTTATTTATTCGGATCTCTTCCTCCCTGTGAAATAGAATTGAAGTTCGCCAACATCCTATTTCACAATCGTTTCTGTCAGGCATCGATAACATCTAACCACCCAAGTAAAACATCCAAAATTCATCGTAACATCTTTCAACTTCCAAGTCTCAAATTAAATAGTAATTTAACTACAAATGAACGATATGAACACGGATGTCCATCAAGATAGTACACCTAGATATGAAAAATTAGCGAAACCAAAAAAAAGAATTGACACCACTAGCAACTACAATGCTTTTAATGTACGTAGACGAAATTTGGAGAACGCGATTAATTCAAGCGAAAATCATCATCCCAATTCCGTCGTATTGTTTTAGGTAAAACGCGGAGCGTTGTATTATCAAATTACGGACTCGTTGAACAAACTGGCTCAACCGAAACATAAACCAGTGACGAACGTGATTAATACATCCAATTACACTATTAGAAGTCCTGCCATAAGTACAGGTGCGTAGACCACTTTCATTTAATTAATACACAGAACGTAGCTAAATCGTTTTCAGTGAAACAAGGGCATCACAGGTTGATAAATACTAACGAGCAATCGAAAGACGCGCAAGAATCGAGGAAGAAGAAATTTTTATTGGACACATACGCCCGCATCACTGCGGCGAGGAATAAAGGATGCTCGAAACGGTTGCACGAACTCGCTAAACCCAAACATTTTACACCTCGCACCGAGCCCTACGAGGACATGGACAATTACTATCAATCTTTCCAGAAATACAACGGCTCCACACAGCTCCTGAAGAAACGATAAAACTATAGTCATATCATGTATAAAGATATTCAATAAATAGTATCGATCGGCAACTTGTACAAAAGTCTATCCTAAATCCTCATATTGAATTAAACACCCGGAACTAAGAATTGAAAATTTAATTTTTCCACGTGCGCATGCCAAATGGGTCGGGAATCGTTTTCGGTACTTGGCTTGCTCGCTTTTTTATATTTGTAGCATTGGAAGACAAATGAACGTTTCCAACCCTTCAAACTTCGGACTTTGCGGAACCCGATCCGATATAAGTCGACAAAAAAATGGAAAAATAATACAAAAAAAATGATCGACTCAATCGAAAATATAACGCTAGAATAATGTAGCCCTTAACATTCCTACCGTTCGCCGCGACGCAATACTAAATTGAAAATGAAATATATAACTTGGGCCTCGCACAAATAGTTAATCAAAGCAATAAGATGGAGAGCAGTCACGCATTCAAATAGAATTCATTAAATTCCGGCAATAGTTTTGGAACATGGCCCCGCGAGTCAAGAAGTCCGTGAGGAGCGCCGCATCCCGCGGTAAAGTTGTGCCCGCGAGAGATGTGAGAGAGACGAAGGAAGCGGCTGGGAGAAGAGCCGAATCTCCTAGATCGAGTAGCAGAAGAAGAAGTGAAAGATCGGCGTCGAAAGTAAAGTAAGTGAGGTCACTTAATTAATTAGAATCCTTTTAACGCGATCGGTTCTTAGGAAGTATAAACTAAAGTTGAAAGGATGGCTGCAAACGCCGCAGGATTGGGCGCGTTTCGACGCCTGGGCAAAAGTGAACGCTCTACCGAAGCAATATCCCGAACCCGAGCCCATAGTAAGTAAAATAAACTTTGAATAATGTAATAATATTAGACGTTGGGTAAAGACTCCTAAGAATAAAAATAACATTTTCGACATTCAAACCGTGTACGCTTAATTATAAGAACTAAGAGGTAGTATTATACTTTTTACGAGCAACGACGTTTTAGATTCGACCGGTGAAACCATTGCACCTGTTGAGGAAGAGGATCAAGCTGTTGGCCGAACCAAAGGACACACCTGACCCGAGCGTTTTCTGCAGGCCGCTGGAGCACAAGATTCCGAAAGCCGCGTTGAAAGCGAAGGCGTCTAGGCGAACGATCCTGCTCGCCCTGCCGAATATAAAACTGTGCGATTTCGGTCGCATTTTTTATAAAGTTTCCCCGGCAGCTTTAACGTACGAACCGTCGGAGAGAATGCTCGAACTGAGCAAACCCCGCATTTTCGTTCCGGAGGAATGCAAGCCGCCCAGGTTGTCGATGTGCGAGAGGCGGGGACTGGACGAGGAAAGATTACGACAATTGGCCTTGGCAAAGAAATTGCTCGATTGCCCGGATCAGCTGACTCCAGAAGAGATAGCGGAACTTTTCACACCTCAGGGTATAAAGAGGAGCGCGCTTACGTACAAGGTACGTGTTGCGATACACGCCACAAGTTTTCGCAGATACAACAAAGTCCTTGTTCCGATTAGATCACACCGTGGATGGATTATTTGGCGCTGCCTCTGTACAAGAAGATAAAGCCGAGAAAAGACAAGACCGCGAAAACTTGGAAGAAAGTGATAGTCGAAGAAGGAGAGAAGAGAGGCAAGTCGGCCATGGCTGCATTCAAAAAGAAACAGGAAAAAGAGGAGAGTAAGAAGAGGAAGTCAACGAAGAAGTACAAGAAGAAAGATGAGAAAACTCCTGAAAGTGGCGACACGGCAGACGAAGAAGAAAAAGAACTGACCGAAGAAGATAAAGAAAAAGAGAAAAAAAGAAAAATGATGAAGCACGCTTGGAGGTACGCGGCGGAACCGTGTAAAGATGATCCGCACGGTGTCAAGAGAGGAGCGTTAAAGGGTCAAGGTACGTAGCGATGAAAAATTAGCGTGGGCGGACATAAATTCATCTACGTATTTATCTATTCCAGCGTCTGAGCGTACGGAGGAATTAGCTAAGCCACGCGATCGCAAGGATAAAGTGTCCAAAGCGAGTCCGTTCACGGTGAAGAAAAGCGCTTTGTCCGCTTCGGCCTCCGGAAGAGTCGAAGATTTGGCCAAAGCTAAAAAACCTCGAAGTCCCGTCGAGAAGAGGCCACCTCGAGAGAAAGACAAATATGGAAGACCGATATTCATAATGCCTGTACGATATTTAAAGCTCTCGAGGTCGAGTGAGTTTTAGCGAATGCATGAATTCATTTATAAATTTTTCATAGGTTTACGGAAAAGTGTTGCCCGAAGCACCACCGTATCCGAAAGCCGAATGTCCGTCGAAAGAGAAGAAGAAAGTCGTCAAAAGGCGTCCGATCGATCCAATTGTTTACGAACCGACCTACGATCCCTGTGAATATCCCGAATGGGCGAAGAGGCAAAAGGCTGAGAGGAAAAGAGCCGAGAAATTATTACCGAAACGTAAAAGTAAAAGGAAGGCGAGAAAGAAGCGAACGAATGTGTACAAAGTGGAAGCTGGAGAAGAGACGGAGGCTGCCAAAGAAGAGGAACCTGCCACAGAAACAGAAACAGAAACGGAAACAGAAACAGAGGCAGACACTGAAGAGGAATAAACCGGTAGATAACAGGCCGATAAAAACAGACACGTGTAATGAGAAACAGGATATAAGTTCTAATAAAATATTAATGGTTTCTACATGTATACGTTGTAATGGTTTTACTTATTTCTTATCATTATCACCTACCGATAATTTTTATTTACATTTTTCCTTATAGATGTTCACGTATTATTAAGGACTAAATGAACTGTTTGCTGTTTTTTAATTGGTCGTTACAGAACAGCTGTTGAATACGATTAAGATAATAATTAATTTCCCAACAAGGTCTCGGTTACCCATTATATTCGATGACTATCGTTCCTTGAGTCTCGGTCACTGACTTTCCACGTGTAGAGGAACGTCCGCGCGAACAAGTATTGGAATCGATGAAAATAATAAAAAGATAAAATGAAATTTCTGGACGCCGTCTCCTTTTGTATCATCGGCATAGGTTGCGTTTTTTGCTGTACAGCGCAGCCGGAAGTGACAGCGCCGATCGGAAGAATACATGGATCTATTATTCGTTCAAGGCTCGGTCGAGAGATTTATTCCTTCCGCGGAGTGAGATACGCCGAGCCGCCCACTGGGGAACGACGTTTTCAGGTAAACAGTTTTATTCTTTTCTCGACACCGTAATTTTATTAATCCTACAAAGATAAGCAGCTACTCGGGCATTTGTCAAACTTTATCATCAACCTTCAAGCTTCTTCCTTCGCGTTTATCGGTGAGAATAACTCGCGTAATTTTCCCACGACGCAGATTCCCGTTCCAGCTGCGGACTGGGACGACGTCTTCGACGCCTCTCAGGAAGGTCCGGCGTGTCCAAATTTGCGAAATACAAACATATCGGAAGACTGCTTGCGTCTAAACGTTTATACCACAAAAGTACATATACGCATCAGGCATGTCTGAAGGATACGAATAAAACGTAATTGTTTGTAGTTACCTTCGGAACGAGAGAATCCAAACAGATCCGTACTCGTATACTTTCATCCGGGCGGTTTTTACGACATGTCTGGTCAAAGTTTGTACTGGGGCCCTCAGTACCTGTTGGATCAAGATGTAGTTTTAGTGACCGTGAATAATCGACTCGGTTCACTGGGTAATTTATATCTAAAGAATCAAGGCTTCGTCCGGCGTTCAAACGTTCGTTCCTTGGACAGGTTTCATCAGCACAGGCGATTCGTTAGCTCCGGGAAATTTAGGATTTAAAGATCAAGTAATAGCGCTTCGTTGGATTCAAAGGAACATCGCCGCTTTCGGTGGTGATCCAAATTCCGTGACTATATCCGGCTGCAGCATCGGAGGAACATCAGTTATGTTGCACATGGTGTCACCGATGTCTAAGGGTTTGTTCCACAGAGCGATCGTTATGAGTGGAGAACTCATGATCAACGAGCCTTATCCAACCGATCAAATGAATCTCGCGCAGAAACAGGCCAGGATTCTGGACTGTCCTACCGATAATAGCACGGTGATATTGAATTGTCTCAGATCGAGGCCGGTCGAGAACTTTAGAAATACTTTGTTCCAGTTTTTCGTTAGTTCGATTCATATACGTAGATACACGTACGGAATACTCATTAGATTCAAGACCGACTTCACGCGCACGCATAGAAAATATGGCACGTTCTTTCCCTACTTTAGTAGTTTTCATGCGTCGTTGCTATTTGAACTTACATGAGCCACACCTTCTGTGTACGAACGGAAGAAGTTCGGAATCCAATGAGCCGTCTGTACGTAGTCTGCGGATACGATGTATTTATAGAAAAAAGTAATGTGCATATTAGGAAGTCGGTGAAACTCCAGTAGTGATTTGGAAGGCTGTCGTGGAACCGGAGATACCAGGAATCGAACGATTTCTACCGGCTCAACCAGTCGATCTCATCCAACGAGGAGAGTTTTTTCAGGTTCCGACTATGTTCGGAGTAACGAAAGACGAGATCGCTTGTTTGACTGTTAGTAAGTAGTTTCGCTATTTGATATGAACGAGACGATCGTTTCCTATACAATTCTTTTTGCAGTGTTCAATAATCTTAGCAAGATTGGCATAGATATGTACGGCATGTACGAAGGAAGATGGTATCACGAGGCACCGGTTAATCTGGTGTACGAAGAGGGCACACCGCGATCCAGAAACATTAGCGATCAATTAAGACAATTTTATTTCAACGATCAGCCCTTCAGTTCGGATAACGGAGACAATTTTACCCACGTACGTACGTGTATACGTAACGTTTCGCATAATAGTTGATATGATAATTGACCTATCGGTGATCTACAGTTGATGTCCGACGGTCTAATAATATTTCCGATGTACCGCGCGGCGAAGCTGATAGCTCAAAATTCTAAAGAACCGCTTTATTTCTACGAGTCCACGTATCAAGGCCGCTACAGCATGATCATGTTGAACGCGACTACACCTTACGGTAAAAAATTCGCCATTGCGTTCACATTTGTTTCAAGTCGACTTCATTGATTTTAGCATCGTTTCAGGCGTAGTACATATGGACGATACCCAATATTTATTCTACTTCTCAATAGAGTTCCCGTACTTTGACGAAACTGCGCCTGAAATACCCATGGTGGAGTTATACACGTCTCTGTGGGCGAGCTTCATGCAGACTGGTAAACCTGTTCTGAAGGATAACGCACTTACAAATACGACGACGAGCTGGGATAGGTTTTTGCCCGATCTGGATAACTATTTGGAGATCAGTCTCGAGCCTACCATGAAGACTAATCTCTATATCAATAGAATGCGCGAATGGGAGAAACTATTTCCCTTGCCTTACCCGACATAGATTTTGATTTAATAAAAGAATGTTCTTTGTTCCATTGTTACATATCTGTACGCATTCGAATAAATGCATTTGAACGAAATTTGTTGTTTTCTTATTAGAAAACCTTGATGGTACGATCCGTGCATATCAGCTGTACAAATAAGAGCTACACAAACATTCACGTTATCGTTCATTCGTCGTTTTTGTACTTTCCGAGTTTAGAGTTCACACTGTCATTATCATGTAGACTAATATTATATCGCATTGTTCGTTTAATAAGATAAAGAATGAAATTACGAACGATATCGTGCAAAAAAGTTACATTATAAACAGATGATATAGATATAGAAATATGTGTAACATGCGAGCGAGCAAAAAAGATTTGCACATGAATTAATTCGATCGGGGTTGTGATTACGCAAGAATTTACGAGACGTGTTATCGTCGTCAGTAAGGTAGTTGGTTTTCCCCACGCGTTTTCCTCCTAGCTTGCTCGTATAAATTGTTCGGTCTTGCTTTCGAGCGCATCAGTGCTCTTGGGAGCACGCGTTGCACCAGTTTAAGTGACTCATCCTGCTCTCGAAGCTCCGACATGAACGGCGCTTTGGTATTTTTCCTCGTTGCTTCGGTTTGCTTCGTCGCTGCTGAAAAGACGTCCGATGATCAACCCTTGGTCGCTGCTCCGATAGGAAAAATTCGTGGTTCCATACTGACTTCTAGATTAGGGAGAAAGATCTATTCGTTTCGCGGCGTGAGGTATGGAGAACCGCCTACCGGGCATCAACGTTTCCAAGTAAGAAAAATTTTATTTGCAGCGAAACGAAACCGAGGTCGCGTGTGACTTAAAGACGGTCTTAACGAGATTTTCCGTTTTAGCGATAAACTAGCTTTTAATTAAACTGCCCGCGGCTATTATCGTATCACCTCCTCTAATTAGGTTTCGCCAAATCTACAAATTGTTCCCCTTATAACTTGTAATATCCGTAATTGAAACTCGCACCGTGGAACATTACGAATTTTGTAAATGTAGCCTCCGATCCCAGCGAAGGATTGGGAAAACGTTTTCGATGCATCCGAGGAAGGGCCCAGCTGTCCTTACCCCGACGGAGTTCTACAGTCGGAGGACTGTTTGCGTTTGAACGTGTACACTACTAAGGTAAGTGGGCAAATATATTTCCAAGGATCACACGAATTTCCGGGCGTCAATTTTCCAGTTGCCGAGCAAAACGGAGAACGTGTCGAGGCCGGTTATGATATTCATACATCCGGGCGGGTTTTACAGTTTCTCGGGCCAGAGTGTTCTGTGGGGACCGCAATACATAATGGATCAAGACATCGTCTTGGTCACGATCAATTATCGTCTCGGAGCGTTAGGTGATTGAATCAGTAATGAATCGAAACCGGTGCAGATTTTAAAACGCTACCGATTTGTCTTAGGTTTCCTAAGTACCGGTGACAGCTTGCTGCCAGGCAACATGGGCCTGAAGGACCAGGTTGCAGCTTTTCGTTGGGTTCAAAGGAATATCGGCGCGTTCGGTGGCAATCCGAACTCCGTTACCTTGGTGGGTGACAGCGCCGGAAGTTTCAGTATAATGCTGCACATGGTGTCGCCGATGTCCACAAACCTGTTTCACAGAGCAATCTGTATGAGCTCTTCGGCTATGGGTCCGGATCCTTATTCCACTATTTCGCAAAATGGGCAGAAAGAGCTCGCTAAAAAGCAGGCGGAACTGATAGGTTGTCCCACCGATACGACCGGTTCCATGTTACTTTGCTTCTACTCCAAACCGGTGGAGAACTTTACCAACACGCTTGGTTCCTTATTCGTATGTTAAATTGATTTGTATGCATTTATGGCAAGTATTACAGTATTCACTATAAGTGAATCAAAATTTTTGACAGGATTGGTACCAAACTCCTATCTTGCTCGGGAAGCCAACCGTGGAACCAGAATCTAGCAAAACCGAGAGATTCTTAACAGCGCAACCATACGATTTGATCGTTCAGAGAAAGTTCACGAATGACGTACCTCTTATTCTCGGTGTTACGCAGGACGAATTTGGCGGAATAGCTTATTGTAAGAATTTTCGTACGCGAAAGCTGATCTAATTATGTTATACCGAGTAAATGTACGTATGATGATTGTTCACAGTATACACCGATCCCGTGCTTCGCGAACTGGATCAAAATTGGACCACTCTAGCGCCGATCGTGTTTCAATACGAACGGGACACCCCGCGTTCGAATTATATCAGCAAAGAGTTGCGCAAGTTTTATTTCAAAGATCAGCCCATCGACAAGAACAACCTGAAGGGTCTCCACGATGTTCGTATAAACATAGAATCTCATATCTTTTCGACACGTTTAATAACTGTGAATCATTTTCCAGATATACACCGATTCCATAGTTACATTCCCGATGTACAGAGCAGCGAAATTGTTTGCCACGTATTCTGATCGACCTGTGTACTTCTATAAGTTCACGTACCAAGGACGATACAGTTTTCGAATGTACAACGACACGACTCCAATTGGTAATGTTAATTATTTATTAATTCGTTCAAAGACGTGAGTATTTAATTTTCAAAATTTGTCTCCTCAGATGTGGATCATCAGGATGATCTGCAGTATATTTTCTACATAAAACAATTGTTCCCGTACTTTGAGAGCAATGCGCCTGAAATTCCAATGGTGGAGATCATGACAGGTATCTGGTCCAGCTTCGTGAAGACCGGCGAACCGATACCCAAGGACAACGATAAACTGAAGAACGTTAAATGGTCCACATACGTGCCCGCGCAAACCAATTTCTTGGACATAAATCTACAGCCGACTATGAAAAACGTCTTCTTCCCTGAGAGAATGCGCGAATGGGAGAAACTGTTTCCCTTGCCTCACCCGACATAGCTTTTGATTTAATAAAAGAATGTTCTTTGTTCCATTGTTACATATCGGTACGCATTCGACTAAATGCATTTGAACAAAATTTGTTGTTTTCTTATTACAAAACCTTGATGGTACGATCCGTGCATATCAGCTGTACAAATAAGAGCTACACAAACATTCACGTTATCGTTCATTCGTCGTTTTTGTACTTTCTGAGTTTAGAGTTCACGCTGTCATTATCATGTAGACTAATATTATATCGCATTGTTCGTTTAATAAGATAAAGAATGAAATTACGAACGATATCGTGCAAAAAAGTTACATTATAAACAGATGATATAGATATAGAAATATGTGTAACATGCGAGCGAGTAAACAAGGTTTGCACATGAATTAATTCGATCGGGGTTGTGATTACGCAAGAATTTACGAGACGTGTTATCGTCGTCAGTAAGGTAGTTAGTTTTCCCCACGCGTTTTCCTCCTAGCTTGCTCGTATAAATTGTTCGGTCTTGCTTTCGAGCGCATCAGTGCTCTTGGGAGCACGCGTTGCACCAGTTTAAGCGACTCATCCTGCTGTCGAAGCTCCGACATGAACGGTGCTTTGGTATTTTTCCTCGTTGCTTCGGTTTGCTTCGTCGCTGCTGAAAAATCGTCCGATGATCAACCCTTAGTCGCTGCTCCGATAGGAAAAATTCGTGGTTCCATACTGACTTCTAGATTAGGGAGAAAGATCTATTCGTTTCGCGGCGTGAGGTATGGAGAACCGCCTACCGGGCATCAACGTTTCCAAGTAAGAAAAATTTTATTTGAAGCGAAACGAAACCAAGGTCGCGTGTGACTTAAGGACGGTCTTAACGAGCTTTTCCGTTTTAGCGATAAACTAGCTTTTAAATAAAGTGCCCGCGACTATTATCGTATCACCTCCTCTCATTAGGTTTCGCCAAATCTACAAATTGTTCCCCTTATAACTTGTAATATCCGTAAATGAAACTCGCATCGTGGAACATTACGAATTTTGTAAACGCCAAATCTACAAATTGATCCCCTTATAACTTGTAATATCCGTAATTGAAACTCGCACTGTGGAACATTACGAATTTTGTAAACGTAGCCTCCGATCCCAGCGAAGGATTGGGAAAACTTTTTCGATGCATCCGAGGAAGGGCCCAGCTGTCCTTACCCCGACGGAGTTCTACAGTCGGAGGACTGTTTGCGTTTGAACGTGTACACTACTAAGGTAAGTGGGCAAATATATTTCCAAGGATCACACGAATTTCCGGGCGTCAATTTTCCAGTTGCCGAGCAAAACGGAGAACGTGTCGAGGCCGGTTATGATATTCATACATCCGGGCGGGTTTTACAGTTTCTCGGGCCAGAGTGTTCTGTGGGGACCGCAATACATAATGGATCAAGACATCGTCTTGGTCACGATCAATTATCGTATCGGAGTGTTAGGTGATTGAATCAGTAATGAATCGAAACCGGTGCAGATTTTAAAACGCTACCGATTTGTCTTAGGTTTCCTAAGTACCGGTGACAGCTTGCTGCCAGGCAACATGGGCCTGAAGGACCAGGTTGCAGCTTTTCGTTGGGTTCAAAGGAATATCGGCGCGTTCGGTGGCAATCCGAACTCCGTTACCTTGGTGGGTGACAGCGCCGGAAGTTTCAGTATAATGCTGCACATGGTGTCGCCGATGTCCACAAACCTGTTTCACAGAGCAATCTGTATGAGCTCTTCGGCTATGGGTCCGGATCCTTATTCCACTATTTCGCAAAATGGGCAGAAAGAGCTCGCTAAAAAGCAGGCGGAACTGATAGGTTGTCCCACCGATACGACCGGTTCCATGTTACTTTGCTTCTACTCCAAACCGGTGGAGAACTTTACCAACACGCTTGATTCCTTATTTGTATGTTAAATTGATTTGTATGCATTTATGGCAAGTATTACAGTATTATTATTATTCAATATAATTGAATCAAAATTTTTGACAGGATTGGTACCAAGCTCCTGTCGTGCTCCTGAAGCCAACCGTGGAACCAGAATCTAGCAAAACCGAGAGATTCTTAACAGCACAACCGTACGATTTGATCGTTCAAAGAAAGTTCACGAATGACGTACCTCTTATTCTCGGTGTTACGCAAGGCGAATTTGGCGGAATAGCTTATTGTAAGAATTTTCGTACGCGAAAGCTGATCTAATTATGTTATACCGAGTAAATGTACGTATGATGATTGTTCACAGTATACACCGATCCCATGCTTCGCGAACTGGATCAAAATTGGACCACTCTAGCGCCGATCGTGTTTCAGTACGAACGCGACACCCCGCGTTCGAATTATATCAGCAAAGAGTTGCGCAAGTTTTATTTCAAAGATCAGCCCATCGACAAGAACAACCTGAAGGGTCTCCACGATGTTCGTATAAACATAGAATCTCATATCTTTTCGACACGTTTAATAACTGTGAATCATTTTCCAGATATACACCGATTCCATAGTTACATTCCCGATGTACAGAGCAGCGAAATTGTTTGCCACGTATTCTGATCGACCTGTGTACTTCTATAAGTTCACGTACCAAGGACGATACAGTTTTCGAATGTACAACGACACGACTCCAATTGGTAATGTTAATTATTTATTAATTCGTTCAAAGACGTGAGTATTTAATTTTCAAAATTTGTCTCCTCAGATGTGGATCATCAGGATGATCTGCAGTATATTTTCTACATAAAACAATTGTTCCCGTACTTTGAGAGCAATGCGCCTGAAATTCCAATGGTGGAGATCATGACAAGTATCTGGCCCAGCTTCGTGAAGACCGGTGAACCGATACCCAAGGACAACGATAAACTGAAGAACGTTAAATGGTCCACATACGTGCCCGCGCAAACCAATTTCTTGGACATAAATCTACGGCCGACTATGAAAAACGTCTTCTTCCCTGAGAGAATGCGCGAATGGGAGAAACTGTTTCCCTTGCCCTCGGCTTCAAAAATGGTCAAGCACTAACGCCGATCATTTAATGATATATATTAAGGGGCGCGGTAGCGGCCCGAAGGCAAGTTTGAGGCCCGTCATATATTACTGTATTGTGTAATGGTGTTGCAATAAACAAGAAAATATAAGAAACATATTTATTTCCCATTAACCCTGTGCGATACAATAATGTAGAAATTTAACAAATTAAATTAATTTGAAGTACATAGTGAGGTGAATCACAATTTTTAATTTTTGGATCCATGGACTGAAGTTTTACATGGCCTCGCTAGGTTCCCAGAATTTTTTGTCCTTTGCCGGATTTTGTACTCCACGGGTCAACCATGGAACTGTGTGAGAGAACTCGAAATCCGTGAAATGTTCCGCTTAATGATTGATATGATAATTGATTCATCGATGATCCACAGGTAATAGCTTCGATGTATCGCGGAGCAAAGCTGATAGCTTAGAATTCTAGAGAACCGCTTTACTTATATGAGTTCACGTATCAAGACCGCTACAGCCTCATCATGTTGAACGCGATGGCACTCTACGGTAAAAAATTCGTCATCGCATTCACATTCGTTTCAAGTCGACTTCATTTTTCTCTGCATCGTTTCGGGCGTAGTACATTTGTATCCAATATTTATTCGTGCTATGACGAAACTGCGCCTGAAATACCCATGGTAGTTATGCACGTCCCTGTGGATGAGCTTCATGCAGACCGGAAAAACCTGTTCTAAAACTGAACGCACTTAGAAATACGAGCAGAAGCTCGGACAGATTTTTGCGTAGTCTATCGATATAGAGATTAGTTCTCATGCTAGGCTCAAAGTTGATCTCCAAGTAAGTTATCCATATCGGACAAAAGCCTGTCCTAGCTCGTCCTCGTATTTCTAAGTTCGCTAACTTTCAGAACAGGTTTACCGGCCTGCATGAAGCTCCAGTGTGTTATATATCTGTATGTATTAGAATTCCTCTTGCCCTCGGCTTTAAAAACGATCAAACACTGACACCAGTCATTTAATGACATATATTACTGTGTTGTGTAATCGAATTGTAGTAAACAAGAAAATGTAAAAAATATGTTTATTTCTCATTAACGCGATGCGATACAATAATATAAAAATTTAACAAATTAAATATATTTAAATATATTCAAGTACATGGAAAGGTGAATCAAAATTTTAAATTTTTGGATCCGTGGACTGAAGTTTCACCATGGTCTCGCTAAGTTCCCAGAACTTCTTGCCTTTTGCCGGATCTTGCACGCCACGAGTAAGTCCACGCTCCTAAAGATGAGAAAATTGCAATTTTTAAAAAAAGGTGAATCCTTTCCGAGTTCGAAACTTCTGATCAAGAGTTTCACTTACGCGGCAGTCCATAAAGTATTTGCCAGAGACTCCGTTGAGTTCGTCCGAAACGGCGAGGTGTAAAGAGGTCTGCGCGCCCTGCTCAGCATTTTTGCAAAAAGTATTTAGGATAATGTTCAACACCCAAGAAGCTGGAGGCGGGACGTTCTTCCAGATTCCGGTGTTTATCAATCCTGGATGGAGACAGTTGGCGCTAACGCCGGTTCCTTCCAGCCGACGCGCTAACTCCAATGTGAAGACGATGTTCGCATATTTCGAGACATAATACAAATAAGCTGGCAGGGTAGTGGTAGGGTTGACGTTGTCCAAATTTAATCTCGACAAGACGTATAGTTCCGAGGTAACGACGATTATTCGGCTGGGCTTCGATCGTTTCATCAAGTCTGCAAAGTCGCGATAATAAATCGCGTTGCGCCCAAGAGTGCGATGTCACGGTAAGTAAAAAATAAAGAGCATCGCACCTATTAAGAGATGAGTAAGTAAAAATGGACCGTAGTGATTCGTGGCCATGGTCATTTCCAAGCCGTCCTCGGAGACTTTTTTTCTAAAAACCTCCGCCGTTCCCGCGTTGTGAATCAACACGTCCAATCTGGTCTCTTCGCGATTTATTTGCTGCGCGAAGTCCCTCACCGAGGAAAGCGATGACAAGTCAAGTTTTCGGGCCACAATGTTGCTGTTGCCGGATTCCTTTATTAATTCTTCTACAAAAACGAATGACGCGTTTTAAAAAGAAATGGTAACGCATTTATATGCACACGTGTGCATTTCTCAGAAATGTGATTATATAAACGGAGGTCGGTTAATTAACAGAAAAGTGCTATTTGCATATTCGATGTACTGCAAGAAATCTGCTAATAAGTAAAGACAACCTTTTAACTTGTTCGCTGCGTCCAAGTTCCTGCAAGCCATGATCAGCCTCGCGCCCCGCTTCGCGAGGTCCCTCGCCGTTTCTTTACCGATACCGGAAGTGCATCCAGTTACTATCACAGTCTTCCCGTCCAGTCTGGTCTTACTCCTGCATACTCCCATCGTGTACTGGGCGTACAAGTATATCGCTAGCAGGAACAGAAGAAAGAGGAACACTGCGCCTGCGGCCAGGCAGCCAAGCACGGCACAAATCGCAATCTTCGATAGCATGTTCAATCGCGAATCTAAACAGATGTGTCGTATGAGGAAAGAAGTAAAAAGAATTCGGAATCCTCTCGACCGGCCCGAGAGAGTTGCCGTACCGTTGAATTCTCTCGATTCTTCGTTCGAAGAAACGTCGGTATAGTTATGCATATGTATAAGTAGAATGCACAAGGTCAATGACCGTGAACATGGATCGTTAAAGATATCGGACATTGACTTTCTATTTAACAGAGACTAAGTCATCGGACCGAGCATTTTCTTTACTTTCCAACGTGTTTCTACAGTTTCTGCATCTATAGATTTTTTAATGATCTACTTCTTCGATGACAATGTGAAACTCCGGATAAACAGGTTCTTATGGAATCCCGTTTATGCATGATACGGTAAAAGTGATTGACACGTTAACGGGTGATAGGATAATAACTAATGTAAAAAGCGACGGTGTCACAGCTGTCTATGAGACTTGCAACAGGAAATTTCGTAAAGTTCATTGTACGCTAATGAGATAGAAAAAGTTCAAATAATTTTTCTGTCACGTCGTCGTAACGAAGAGGAATATTAAATTAGACCGACGGATGAAATTTCAACAGAGCGGCGTGGAAAAGTGTCGTCGAGTGCGGGAAAAAATTCGGTTCATTATACTCACACCACTTGCTGCGAAATTTTCCTTTGGAAGGAAAGCTCGAGAGAGTCCAGGTACCAGCACACCTTTTCGTCAGGAACGTTGCCTCTCTACTATGCTATACTACGGATAGAATTGCGGTACGTGACCCTGCACCAAGCATCTCCCCACTCGCGTTCCCAAGAACAGGGACGAGAGAGCGGCTTCTACAAACCTTCGTTTAATGTCAAGTTCCTCGTAGTTCTGAAAAATAACTGCTTACGCGTATTCTTTTCGACTCTGCCCACCGCGTTCTTTCAACTTCGTCGAGCCTCGTCGAAGCGAATAAAATAATAAAAAACGCGTTACAAATTCAATGGTGAACGCGATTTATGAGATTCTAATTAGACTTTATTTGAATACCGATGACAGCGCAACAGGTAATATTTTTTCGCTAATAAGTTGTTCATGAATAATGATTATCGATTTCCGTAGCGACACCTGAAGAGAATGTTCGCCTCGTGAAAATGAAAATGAGTCACTCGACATCTTATGTTAACGAATTCGGACCGGCAGAATTTTAATCATACCGATTAATTGGAGTTAGGATATTCCGATTCGCAACGAGTTTAATTTAAAGTTCTGTTCCACGATTACGCGCTTTCGATGAAAGTTAGAAACCGGCAGATTTTCTACTTTCCTTCTATCATATGAGAAAGTTTTAAGTGGCCTGAACAATTAACGTAACGAATGTCCTGTTCGATACTACCAACGAGTATTTATTTATCTTATGCGTTATTCCTTTATCTTTGCGTCAACTCGAATGTTCTTAGATTTAACCGTGGAATCGTTCCTTTGGAGTTTGAAGACTTGCTCGGCCTCTACGGTACTTTGCAAAATCTGCGACGTCAGATTGGATATTCGCTGGTCTTTCAGTTTCATCGCGCTTTCGAGATACGCAACCTTGTGGTTCAGAGTGCAAATAATGTCATCGATTTCGCGGAGTTCCTGCTTCAATTGCGCGCAAACGTGACGAGGAACGACATCTTCGTCGCCCACGGTTTTCTGCGTTCTAGAATCCCCGGTACCATCGCCCACTTCAACGATGGAAGCGGAACGATCATAAAATTCTTTTCTATTTGCACGGTTAAGACGCTTTCACGATCGAGAACTTACTCGAATTTGGAACATAACTTCTTATTTGAAACATTATGTACGGAAAGCAATTCCAGGCGGAGAGGAAACTTAACAGCCATCTCCAGAAAAAGTAGAATTTTTCTTGGACATATAGAAATACTGATCTCTCGCTAGTCACGGTGTTCGAAGTTGGTTGCTTAACAGGACAAGGTGTCGATTTCGTAGCGTCCGTATCGAGTTCGTCTGCGTTACCTAAACGAAATATCGTGCACTTTGTAGACATTACAGTTGCATTCCTTTGGATTCTTTAATTTATTTTTACTTTTGCTATTCTCTTCAATAAATTCATTTTCCTTATCGTTGCATGACGGATCCTGAGTACTGTTAGACTCGGCATCCTTCGAAATTCTCTTCTTCAGCATTAGCAATATATTTTCAGCAGCTCCAGGATGACAATTCGCCAATTGATTGATCGCATCTTTGTTTAATTTCATATCAATTTTGCTGAGCACTTTCCGATTCAGTATGTTCCAATTTTCTTTCTTTAAATTCAGACTATTGACTGGCATGTAATTGTGCAGATCGACGTGCCGGGGATAATATTGTTTAAGGATCTCTGCCATCATCACTAAATATACATTTTTTATAACTATTTACGTGCAATGCAAGAGTTTTGATAGACGAAGCAACTGTATATACCGGCGTCCGAAAAATCTCTGCTCAAGTTTTTTGTCGGCTTCGAGAGAGGTATCCCAGAAATCCACGAGTACAATTCTTCCACCTTAGACTCTTTCTCGTCCTCGTTGGCCATTTTCTTTCGTCCGATATATAATTAGATTATTATTGTATCGTATTCAAAATTAAACGCAGCGGACGAACCACGCGTTTGTACTGAACATATTTCTTCCAAAATGCCGTGCGATAGTTTGCACGATACATTTAACGATATGTTGGTTCAATCGTTCCTGTACGATGGACCTTATTTTTTGGACGGTGATGGTCCAGTATAATCGGTAATAAAAATCGTTACAAAATTGACATTCTCCTATCGTTTGAAGTTAGATTTTTATAGCAGTACAGAATCAATTTTTAATTGCCTGCATTCGTTTAGTTGATCGAGATATGGAGAAACCAGGGAGAGAGTTATTATTATACATTTGTAACGCCCGTTAAGATATTTTAAATGAAACTCGATTTCAAATAATTTAGCTAACGTACGCGCCCCTTTTTAAACCTGCGCAATCTCCGGAGGTCTCCTTGGTACGTGAATCATGGCTGAAAATATTCCTAGTTCGAAGACATTCTCGTTCCTTTCGTTCGTAAATACTGTCAAACCTTTCACCGCAAGTTCACGCAGTTGCACGCAGTATTCTTCATATTCAGTAATCTGTATTGTTGCAAAGTAATTGTCATGGCTACAGAACGATATAGTTTTTCATTGACAACTTTCAGGTAAATGTTAATACTTTCTATGAAAATTGTCATATTTTAAAGATTTTACTTCTACGTCCTTCTCGTACAACGTACCGAGTTATCAAAACTTATAGTACGGATAACCTGTAAAATCCTACAATCGTTTTACAGTATTAATCATTGTCTGTACATTTAAAAAACGATTGATACATTTCCCATGGTCTTGTCTATTTAAATAATAATATAAAAATGAATGAGACATAGTCCATTTAATAGAATCTAAATCCTTTCTACCGAAATACACGGAATGATTCAACGAAATTTTTGAAGGGGGAATATGTATTTTTTTCCACAGCCCATCCGGGAAGTTGGTGCAAATAGAATATGCTCTGGCTGCCGTGGCCGCTGGTGCAGCCAGCGTTGGCATCAAGGCATCTAATGGAGTTGTACTTGCCACCGAAAACAAGCACAAATCGATATTGTACGACGAACATAGCGTAAAGAAAGTAGAAATGATCACGAAACATATTGGAATGGTGTATAGTGGGATGGGTCCAGATTATAGATTGTTAGTAAAGCAAGCACGTAAAATGGCTCAACAATATCAACTGATTTATCAAGAGCCCATACCTACTGCTCAACTGGTGCAAAGAGTCGCGATGCTCATGCAAGAATACACGCAATCTGGGTATGTATTTATTGAACAATTATCTCTACAAGGAGTTCTCAAAATGCAATTAATCTGTTATCAAATTGGAAATTGTAGTGGAGTCAGACCGTTCGGAGTTTCGTTGTTAATCTGCGGTTGGGATAATGGCAAACCTTGCTTGTATCAGTGCGATCCTTCTGGCGCTTATTTCGCATGGAAGGCAACCGCAATGGGTAAAAATTTTGTAAATGGGAAAGTGTTCCTCGAGAAAAGGTATAGCGAGGATTTGGAATTGGATGACGCCGTACACACTGCTATTCTAACGTTGAAGGAAGGTTTCGAGGGACAGATGACCGCGGATAACATTGAAGTTGGTATTTGCGATGCGAACGGATTCAGAAGATTAGAACCTTCGAACGTCAAGGATTACTTAGCCAATATTCCTTAATCCTAATCTAATTTTTCTATCACGTTATACAGTGACCTACTCTTTGTCTAAACCAAGTAAATTCAATTCTTTTAATAAAATTCTTCATTCAAAATGAATTGTGTATCAAGTCTCGTTTTACCTCTCAGTCGTGGTCTTTTATGTCGCATTTGAATTTAGAGCTTAAACGTCGGTAGTAAAATTTACGGCCGACAGATGGCGTCGTGAGTCTCGCCATTGCAATCGTGCGCGAATGCGAACGAATTGTCGTAGTTGGTGCGCGGCCGGCCGGCTGGTTTGTTTCGTGTGTTGCTCGTGCCGTCAGTTTTTCGTAGTTTTTAGTGTTGAGAAAAATCGAGGAGAAGACGCGTCTGGCTATTCATCAACGAATGTGCGAAGGTAAGTCCAGATTCGTTTAATGCAGATTATTAACTGTACACCTTGACGACGATGCTCACGTTGCCACGCTCGGCAAACTGTACCCTCTGGCTCGTAATATTGATGTGTCCTTTGCGCGTAGATACTTGTTTTCAATGTCCTATATCGTGCACGCTTACAATTGTCTCGATTTTACGTTCGCGACGATCTTTGTTACGTACATTGTTCGTTTTCGAATATATGACAAGATGTATACGAGTACATTCGATAAAACTCGCCTGTTGAATCGCGTGCTCCTGCGATGCCGGTCGTTTGTTTATGTCGGCCATTAGCATTCGCGATCGGTTGGAAAATTTTATTACGTGCTTACGCAGATATTTAAATATGCGGTCGCAATCTAATATATAAAAGTTCATTTTTATCGATATTTCATATGTTTTATGTAAATCGTTTCTTCAGAAATTGAATGATCATGCCTTGATTTTTCTTGTGTGTCGTGACAGACCTTCCCGCGTCATTGAACTAGTTGATCTGTGTTGCCTTTATTGTAAATAGAAACTTGAACTAAGCGAAATGAATGTCGAATTGGTCGATAATTATATATTATTTGTAGCAATTATCAGTGTACGGTCGATTGTTATGCAATTTTGTGAAACAACGACGACGCGACAATGGACGGTTAAATTAGGTTTGCTCGTTCACGGGCGGGTATCGCGGGGGAACAACGGATTTTTAATATTTAGGTAAGCGATATAAATGCTGTTTCTTATTCGAACGGGATATCGCGTGGGTGTGGGGAGCACGAATTCGCGGTTTTGGGAGGGTGACTATAACCATCCGCGGAATCGTGAATGCCGGGTAATCCTTGATCTTCTCGTAGCTGTCCTCGTCTTTGGAAGCATCGAGCTCGTTCCCTCGGTTTTCCGGCATCACGTCGTCTGCATTAGAGACGAACAATGCCAGACTTTAATATGACGCATCCGCAGACGCGTTTTCATGACGGTTTCGCCGGCTTTCATTTACCGTTGCTCGAACACTGTTTCCACGTCGGTACTTGAAGATCTCCACGGACAATCATAGTCGTGCCGGGGAGAGGGAAAAGAACAGGGGATCGGGGAGACGAAGGTTTCGCTCCGTGCTGGTTGCACGGTTTGCAATTTTAATGTCGGCATTACAAGAGGCTAGTCCTCCTCCCCTTCCGGAGAAAGCGCTGAATTTGCATTTCCGCTTTTGCGGGAAATCGCGAGCGTGCCGATGTCGTTTATTAAAAATTCTAAAAAGCCATCGAGTTCCTTCTCTTTTGTCTCTCTACTCGGATCGAGTAGGTACGAGATTCGACGCCTCGGACACCACTTCGTTCCTTTTAATAAATATTATCTAAATTTGTAAAACGTGCAATGTCCCGTCGCGACCTTTTGCCTTTTAAACGTGGACGCACCTGTCGCCTCGCGTAACGGGTCTAATTACGGGCGCCTCGCGTTCGCAACCCTTTCCTCCAGTCCGAGAATAATTACGCTAGTTTCTTCTAGGAGCTCCAATATTTTCGCAAGCTTAACGGAAATGACTGTGCCGTCTCTCGTTACGTTTTATAGCTCGCGGTATCAGGTGCTCGGTGTTTATTTGATACGAACGGCCTGTATTACAGTGATTATCGATATCGAACAAACGTACGAGCGGGTGGCTGATAGCTGGCTACCCGTGCACGTTCCAACACTCGGATTCTCGTAATTTTGCGTTATTAGACCACATTTGACAGAGTCATCGATGACGGTCCGAGTGGTCGTTGAAGGTCGTCGAGGGTCGAGTAATTAGGGGAATCTATCGGGAGGAATCTGACGATATCGAGTGGGACAGGTGCACCTGCAATTTTCGTAGATAGGATATCCACTAGATTTAAAATAAAATGAGTTTTCAATTCGCTCGGTCCCGGATCGTTTATTCGCGTAAAAAGAGTTGCAACGTCATGGGAAACCGTCTGCCGTGTAAGCTCAGGGTTTGAAAAAGGGAGGTAGGACGTGGGACGAGTAATTTTATTCGAGTAAATTAGCACCGTCATTTTCTGCGGGAGTCACGTAAAAAAAAAAATTCGACTCAGAAACGATTCGATGGTCCGATCACGCGACGACGACGTGTATTTTCGACAAAGCTCGTACGAGCAAACTGTAATGGACAGAAACGTGTCCTTGTTCGCGGCGAGCGCAGCTGGTCGATGTCTTTGTCTCTGTTTGACGAGAAACGGCATCCGGCCGAGCGATCAAAGCTTCCAAGAGCCCGACGAGCCTCCGATGACGTCGATCGCTTCGGTTTCCCGTCGTCGTAAGCTTCGATGAGCAGCTTTTTTCATCCCGGCCTGCACAGCCGCCCTGCAAAAGCTCGTTCTCTCTTTTCACTGTGTGGGAGACCGTGCCCTCCCTCTCGGGCCCTGCGCGTATAAAATTAGATCGTTCGCCGATCTATCTTCTCGCACCGTTTTCCTAGTTTTCGCGCCCTCACCTTCGCCCCGAGTTCCTCGTCGAGCTTCGACTCGAAAGAACTGCCGACGAACTCGATTCGTTATCTTCAGAAAATACGGGACACACGAGCTAATTTTCAGCGAACGCATTTCGCAGCGAGTCGCATACCAACTTTCAGGACGTCTTCGTCTTTGCCCTGGGAAACGTAACTCTTCCCGGGGATACAATGAGTGGCGAGCACCGTGGAATGTAATTAAGCTGGAGTAACCGACGGAACACGAGCGATGTCAAATTATGGGCCTGCCTCTCCTCGTCTCCTCTTTCGCTTTACCTCCTCGTCATACTGATTTATTTCCTGCCAACCAATATCTTCTGTCATCTCGCGGCCTGCGTTCCGTCGCGTCGCTTTGCGCCGATTCGTCCAATTTTCCTGCTCGTTCCCGTGCCAAACGCATTTAGGACGTTCGACGCCTTACACGAGTTTCTCGGATATTTTAGTTCGGACGAGTTCGTTACCGCGGAGGAGATACTAATAGCGTACCGACGATAAATGTAACGATACCGTGACCAACGCGCAATCAATACCATCGAACGTCACGTACGTCCTCGGTACTTCGTACGAGCTCAATAATCGCCGGTACGCGCCGCGTCGGTCCACTCGTTCGCCTAACAAATGGATCGCATTGTTTACCGGTTTAATTGAAAAGCACAAGTTTGAAAGACGCTTGGAAACCTCCTCCATTTAACAGATGCCTTGGTTTCTCTGTTCGAATACATATGGAACAATGGAGATCGTCTTGATCCTTGGAGCTGCTCTTTCAACGTTCTTGTTTCGTTAAGGTCTAGTCCGATTATTCGGCTCGGGTCGAATGTAAATAGCGGGAAAAAGTCGTGCTTTTAACTGCACTCCGGCTGCCCCCTGAATTATGGCAGTTCCGTTGGAAAGTTCTCAAACAGCGCGCGTTGCCGAGTATGTGTTCCAAGCTTTCATATATGAACGAACAGGCCTCGGATTTTCGTCGGCGGGGCGCGATTCAGCCGACACGGGAGAGAGGACTATTGCCAAAGTTTTGAGATATAGGAATACTTGTTTTTGCAAAAGCGAGTCGGGTACACGGCGCGGCCGTTTAAAGCCTGCCGCTTTTCCCGAAAATTGTCAACTCAAATCGCTCGTTAATTAGTTCGCATCTCATCTTTACCGCCATTCCCCCGAAACTTTCCGGAATTCCTGTGCGAATTCCTCCATTCTCCTTCATTAATTATTCGACCGCGTATTTGCTGAATTCATAAGATTCGGTGTTCGATCGATGAAACGAATGTTTGAAGAATTACGATTTCAAAGATACACTTTAAGAGCAAACGCGTCGACGTAATTTCGAAATATCGGAAAATGATATTTCGCGTTCGTCGAAAAGGTTTGGACGTGCGATAAATTTATTAAAAGGCGGAACGATGAGCCACGGTTATTACTCTCCCGCGTACATAGTGTCGCGGTCGTAATACGTTAAAAAAGGATCAAACGAAAGCTGCGGACGCTTTTAACCGCGTTCCGTAAATAGAATCCGTGTTTCGCCACGAGAAAAGTTTATCTTTACCCGGGGCTTTTAACGGACGTATTGTGCGAGTTTCGCAAGGATGGAAAGGATACTACCGTTTAGCCGCGTGGTTGCAACAGGGAAAATCGTGATTCGCGTTGTTTAAATGTCCATTCGACCGAGAGGGCGGAGGGAAGCTAGGAAAAGGAAGGTTTGATTTTATCGGTGGCAACCGAGTTTGTGAGCGGGACGCGGTCGAGGCTGTGGCGTCGGTCCATTATCTCCTTTCGCGTGTATCGCGGCTACCGATTAGTTTGCCACTTTATCGTTTAAAGTCGGGCTCGTAGGATGACGGCGTGAAAGGTCGACGACGGGAACGCGAACCCCTCTGGAACCGGAGCCGTCGCGTCGTTAGAACCACCGGTTGCCACTCGTCTACCTCGTTTAAGATCGCTCTTTCGAGCGTTTAACGCGGCCAGACGCGAAACGTGGCTGCACAAACCTTTTACACCTTGAGAATAAGCGCCGCGCTCTCCTCGACGCATTTACCTACAATTTTTCTCCGATTACTAAATGCTTCTCGTGCACGAGCTCCGGGTGCGAGCTCGTTTCAACGTTTAAGAAACAGTTCCCCTAGCATCACGATAACAGTGATCTTACGTATCTCGACGTGACGCGACGGACAGGTTGCACCTAGACAACGGGAGGGTATCTGAATTCAGGCTCGCGTCAAAAGGGGCTTCGAGTCGGAAT